TTGTACTTACTGGTAACGTTGCAAATATTTTCAAAAGTTTAAATACTGATTCAAATATTTTAATATCACATAAATTTAAACCATCGATCGCGTTTAGTGGTAAAGTATATCCAMAGTTTTTAAATTTTTCATACCACAATTCGAATTCGGCCTTAGCGACAGAAAAACTAATTTGTTGCATATCTTTTTCGTAAAAGTCAAAAAGATTTTTAAAACTTGAAATTTGTTCATATGTTGGATCACGTCCGGTTGGTAAAAGACATTAATAACTTGTTAGGAGATTTTTATGTTTTAAAAATCGATCAGAAAGACTATTAAGAAATGAATCGACCCATGGAATAAAAATTGAACGTCTATAGGTCTATAGTATTCTTCAATATTTTCAGATGGTGTATTACATCGCTTAGTTTGGTGTTTTGTTAGTCTAGGTGTAGACATACCCAAGTCTAAATTAGAGGCAACTTCTTGTGCTTCTAAAAATAATTGTTTAAATTCACTGTCGGCATTACTTCTAAGTCGTCGGAGAATAGACACTACACTTTCTACTTGGTTAACTGCAGTTGATAGATCTATATCTGTCCTTTGAAGTATTTTACTTATTGGTAAATATAYCCCCAATGATTGGGGTTTCTTCTCGATAATTTTCAATCACATCGGTTTTAAGTTCTTCTCTTTTTTTCAATACTCTATTAGGCCATGGGTGGCCACAACGAGGCTCGTGAGCCGCATACGGTTAACCCGAGTGAGTCTCTTGTGGCTCTTGACACCAAGCTTAGAGTAAAATTAATTCATATAATAATATAAAAAGCACTTCTCAAAAGTAAAATCCCATTTCTTAATGTGTTCCTACCTGAACAATAATGCTCTGTGTAGTGTAAAAAATGAATGTTTGAATGTTCCTTTATTTCTTAAAAATTAAAAATGTGTTTACATTTTATAAACATGCCTATCTATCTTAACAATGTGACTCGAAATAGCTTCATACATTTGCAGCTCCTAAAATTAAGGTTATTAGTTGCCATCCCTGATCTAGGCTCTAGCATGGYAGATATGTTAATATGTTTAAGTATATTGTTGGGTATGCCCTATGATCGTATATTATTATGTAAAAACAAAAAAGTGCTTTGCATCAATTATCGTGTCTATGCTCTTAAAATATTATACTATACTAATTGTCTATTTTCATTTATTCACTACCATTTTATCGCACTAGATTTGGATGAATAATAGTTTTAATTACAATTATAACATTTATAAGTATTTACTTTAATCCTTTATAATTATTAAAATTTCCATCTTAAAATTACTTAATACCACCATAAWACATTGTGAATACTTATATAATATTATAAATAAAACAAATTTGAAATTATAATAGTTATCGGAAAATACTTGCTTGTTTGTCTCAATCCCCAACATCGGCAATATAAWACATGAGCCAACTAAGTAAATTGTAAGCACCTTGGAATATTATTATCAACTGTCTGATAAATATTTTTTATATTTGAATAATTTAAATTAATATAATTAATTGATGGACCTTACATCATTAATTTAATTTCATATTTTCGTGTCAATTATTATTCATATGAGTCCAGTATTTTATAAATAATCATTCTTGGGAAATTATCATAATAGTAATATGTATGTTTAT